GGTCCTTAAAGTTCCCTTCAGTAGATTCGAAACGCTTGCATTTAAAAAGAAAACACCCGCACTTTTCACTTTGGCAGTCATGGCTGGTTTCGAACTCGTCTGAAAGATCAACGATATGTATTTGGTGATATGTTGTCGCCTTAAACTACGCGCTTTCCAAAAATAATACAGAAATAAAATGTTGGACCTACCGACACACTCGTTGGCTTCTCTGGCGGTTGCGCGCTGCCAGGGTCGGTCATAGTGAAAAGGTTTGCATCTGTCACACTCTGGTCCGGCTGTATTGTGCTTGCACTCGCACACTAGGTTTCCATCCCGGTCTTTGACGCACCGTGACGCGTGTCCATTACACTTACATCTACCTCCGACCTGCAGGTCTGACACGGCGTAAAAATAAGAATCTCGGGCCAGCTCCGAGTCATCCTCATTTTCGTCTCCGAAAGTGTGCAGTCGGCTAAAAGTCACCTTAATGTCTGTGGCGGTCACCCAGTCCTGAAGTACGGGTGAATTGTCAAAGTCGTGCGCGGAGGGTCGCCCGTCCAGGGTGCTGAACGCGATCAACCCGCCGGAGAGAGGGTGCATGTCGGTGTGAGAATCTGTGCAGATGGCCTCTTGCTCGTTTTGCTTAGTGATCGTGGCTTTGCTGGGCTTGTTGTACATTTTTCTACACTGGGTCGAGTAGTACTGGAAAGGCACCCAAGACTTTCCGTAGTCCATTGATTTAAAGATAGCCATAGACTCTGGTCTTGGTGAGCAGAACTGCAAACTCACGTAGGTCACCTCGAATTTCTTGTCCAGGGATAATGTTAAAGTGACGTTTTGAGGATACTGGATGTAATTGTCCGACTGCCAGCAGGTGATATTATGAGGATTGTTCAGGTCGGTCAGGTAAGCAGGTGGGTGATATTTCTTTGGGTCCGACGCGTCGCACGTGTGGCAGTTTCTGTGCCTTTCATCCTCTTTCTCAGTCACCACACAGTACCGACTCGGTGTTTTGCCGCAGGTGCTGGACGCGCGCACTTCCTTCCCGAACGCCGCGTTCACGAAATCGGGGATGCATCTTCTGGGGTGACCGTTCTCGTCGTAACACGGATCCGGTGGGGAAGTCTGAGCAGCGAACATGCTCATGCCGTATCCGCCGACAGTCCCTTTGAATACACAGTAGAGAGTCACCAAAGTGACCAAAGCATTCGAGACCCTCAACATCGTCACGCGCCTTCCTCAGTCTCTCCTGTGCTGAAACACAGCCGTGTCCTAATGAGAAGATGCTTTCACTGTTTGCAGATGGGAAATCAGTTGACAGTCTGAGCGTGATCAACCCACAGCCGCTATGACACCGCGATCCAACCGGTGCCAAATAACAAACTAATGCGAATCTAAATCTACCTCCAGCATATGGGCAAACTCCTGGATCTAAACCACTACGGAAGGTCCGACAATAATTACGCTTTCGCAATGAAAGAAAATCGCAATTGAAGAAATCTCCACACAGGTCACTGTACCTCCGTCAAACAGTTTAGCAAAAGCAGAAAAGTCAAAAAACTATTTCAGTTCGTGCTGGCTCTCTTTTTCCGTGAGTATTGGACACGCGCTTTCACTTGTCTGGTTGAATCTCTGCGTATGTAGAGGATATAAGAAGATCCCGTTAGTTTGAGCTCTAGTGAGATAGGAGACACTCACGTTGCCCCCAACCTCGAGGCAGTTACAGGAGCACAAACAGCGACTAGTCGCCTCTGTGGATGAAGATGTGTGTGTGTGAGAGTCTCTCTCTCTCTCTCTCTCTCTCTCTCTCTCTCTCTCTCTCCGTATCTGCTCTATGGAGAAAGAGCCGGGCGTCTCTTTACACAGAGGTTTGAGCTCATTCATCTCCAGCAGTGACACTCGAGAGAACAACGACATCCACTGGTAGATTATCAATAAAACCAGAGCAGACGGGACTGAACAGAATATAGGCAAATAGAAGTGTAATTTATAATTTAGTTACTAATTCAGTATCTTTGCTCTATAATTGACGCGTAGCCTATATTTCATTTATAAAATAAAGGGTAGAAAGACTTTAGAGAAAAATATAAAAATAATGCTAGTTTTGTAGCAACAATATAGCTAAGTCGAGTTCAACAATAATAATGCTTATTTCAACAAGACTTGCACAAAATATGAATTTATAATTTTATTATTTGGTTATTGTGTATTGGAAAATTTACTTAGGTTTTATTAGCCTATGAGTTTATTTTTGTGATAAAGGTTTTCGTTTAGTGCCTCTTTATTTTAAACAGCACCCAAAGTTAATGACTTCCTTTAGTTTGATTTAGGCTACGTGTTTGATTATTAGGCTATTGTTCTGACTAGTAACCAATTTATTAGTAACCAATTTAATAAGCTTCCCATTATTAAAGGCAAACCGCGACAACAAACCACATAACTTTTGGTTAGCCGTAACAGCTTATTTGCTGATTTTGCATGAAAAGTCGTGGTCTTCGCATTTCTAACACTTTTTAGATCAGATGTGGAATTCATGAACAAATACATTTGCATTTTATAGGCCTATATACTAAAATAGACTATCCCAAACCCTGATCCAAGGTCTTTTTGCATTATTTAGACCCACTGTATTTATGAATATAAATAGGCTGCATATTATTAATAATAATATATTATATATTAATAATAATTGTGACGCCACAAAGGGACGTTTGAATATATTTAGTCAACATCTGTTCAATTTTGTCTTAAAATGTAGCTCAGTAAAGTATTGTTATTAGTTCCCAGTTAGCAAACAGCACTGGTTTTACAGAGCATGCATTTTATAAGCATATCATATATTTATGACATGTATGTCCAGTGTTTATTTCATTATATATAAATATAAAAGTATTTTTTTATACATATATTTTATAATTTAGAAATAAAACCAATTTCGCGACAGATATACAACGCTATAATACATTGTTATACAAAAAGAAAGCAATGACAATAATAACAATAGGCCTAATATTTGTCGATGTGTCTGATACTCATCTTTAACGTCTACTTATTCAGTGGAAAGCACACGAACGATACCGTTGCTATAGTAACCTAAAAAGAAGAACGATACTTTTGGCGCCAGATAATTCCATGCTCTGACAAAATTTTAATCTGTTGGTTATTTTGTTATTCATATTAGGCCTACTAAACTAAGTTTTGAGAGAGAAAAAAAGAGAAAAGAAATAAAGAATTTGGAGTGATGGATTATATCATCATTTAAACAGAGCTGTTGAAAGGTACCTTTGCTTTTTCTTGCCGTAAAAATGGGCGCAGCCATTTCTAAATTCTATGGGTCTAGCTTCAGGTCTCATCAGAGTCCAGCTATTTTTAGCTGTACAAAACAGTTAATTTTGCTGCTTGATATCGAAAATTGGTATGTCTTATCATATTATTTTAATGTATTATCTTAATTATGAACACACTGGTTTGTAGTGCAAACAGTTTTACCGTTTACTGCACGTTGTTATTATCCTCGTTATTTACCTAAGCGGCTAATGAACCGGAAGTCTCACCCATAGGCTTACTTCCGCGTTGAAGAAAAAGGTGGATAATAAAGACACATTAAATGCTCCAACTACCGCCTCCAAACATTTCAAGAATAACAATGATATCAGCTGTAGGACTACCATGATAAATCAATTAATCAAACGGACATTCAAATTCACTGGCTATATTAGCGACTTTCGTTAAGCACCGCCTGAATTTACATGGGAGATTTGAGCGAGAGACATAACTGAACAGGGCGATGAAAGACGCATGCGCAAATGGTTGTCAGAATGCGTTTCAGCTGAAGTCTGAAAATTAGATTATCCATGTGAATGTAAATTAAACCAAGGTTATATTTTCAAAGATATCATTTTATGTAGGTTATGTATGTGCTTATTTATTTATTTATTTATTTATTTACAGCGGACTAACGTGTTTGTATTAAACATTTGTAAATTATTACAAACAGGCCTTAAGTGATTTTATGTAGGATGCATATAGGAGCAGACTATTTATTTATTTAGTTTCTAAGCGAATACAGGCTTTTCTGTATTAACATATTTGTGGCTTCCATTTGAGTATTTTCAAGCTCAGAAGGCATATTCAACTCGTGTTACTGGTTTTGATAGTCTACCACAATATTATTCATAGGCTACAACACTAATCCACTGCAACCTAAACACCTTTCACTTGCTATTGCTCGGTTCGTTTATTGTTCTGCAACGCAGTTGGACCACTAGATGGCAGTATTTCATTTCCACTAAGTCAAGCTCATCCAATCCATGTCGCCTATTAGCTAATAAACCCCTGTCACATCTTTTGCTAGTGTGGATTTACATATTCTAAGCTTCCTGTCCTGCGCTGGTCTGATCCATCTGATTGGAAGCGTTAGCAGATAAGTTCCTTCTTTAGAATAGTAACAAACCATTCAATGAGTTCCACTCATCGTGATATTACAGTTAAGCCGACTAATATGTTTGAGTTTTGAGAAAGGAAGAGGCAGAGAGTGACACAGAGAGAAAGACACTCTTACGGTACAAAATGCAAATTTTGACCTTTGGGGAAGTTAAAAGTTGATCTTATGCTGAGTATAGAGGCTGAGTCTGCAGTTAGACTAAAATACATGTCATTTTATTATTTTAATAGCTCAATATCAAACAATAAAACAACACAATAAATGGTGTGTACTTAACAAGGACCTTAATTAACTTTTTTAAAGTAAAAAAAAACAACAACAGCAAATTGTTTTGATGTTGATAATGGAATGTGGGTACTCTTATGTTTGTGAACATTTAAACATATCTACATGTTCAGTAATTAAAAAAACCCGTCATTTCTAAGACCAGCTTGCCATTCATGTCACCTAAGACGTCTGTCAAAAAACAAAGCCTGCGTGTGTAAGTTAAACCTCCTCCCACTCATGAACACATGTAGCCCATGCCTTCCTCCTTTGAGTTCATCTGCACCTTCTCTCTCCGAGTTCCTGTTTAGTCGCACCAAAGTGCGGCAGGCATGCTGATGACTACTCCTGTTGTTGCTGCTGTTGTTCAGAGTCTATGTAGGCTGATATAACTTGATGCTGAAGGATGTGGTTACATTTCCACCTCTTTTCATCATAAGCGCAGGATTACACTGCAAGGACATCGGTTCCGTCTCAGCCCACACATTGATAAGAGGCAAAGAAATCATGGGAAGAGGATAAGAACTCCAGGTAAGTGTTGCCTGTGGTGTATTCCTGTGTCGTGTTTGTTTTAATCTGAGCTCATGTAGCCTAGATAAAAAATAAAACTCAGAATTACAAGGCCAAGTCAGAGGACATGATGTGCAGGTAGATTCAAGCAAGCCCATGATTTGCTTTAGCCAGAATCAGAAACGTTTTGCTTCCTCCAGCTCACATGTTCGCATGTGAAGATTTCCAATGCTCCATGACCCTTTAAATTGAGTTTTAAGACAGATGATGTTCATAGCTGAGGATGTCGTGTGGAGACTTTACTATTCACAGATTTTGTGCAGTGAGGCATGCAAGATAGCTGTTCTGAATCTGTAATCTGTTGAATGATATTTATCTATGAAATACAGTAATGCAGTCATGTAATATACTCAAGTTATTTGACAGCATTTGTGTTCTGTTATTTTACATGGCTCTATTACTTAAACAATTTAGAATTTTATACAGTAAACTGTAACGAAACTTTTAAAAAGTCTTTTAAAAGATGACTGCAAGACATTCACATGGGCTTCCTCTGTGGCGGATGGTCAGATGTAAAAACAGTGGCTAAGTCGGAGATCTTATCACATTCAAGCAGCAGACTTATAGCAGCCACTCTAGTTCTCACAGAAGATCCCTTAAGATAATGGGGGTGCTGAATTATTTTTCTTCATACATGCATACATACATACATGCACATATAAACATAAAGTCTGCAGATTCTAAGTGTTTCGTTGCAAAATACAATCAATCCCACAAATACAGCTGATGTTCCTTCTCTGCAGAGTCATATAGTTTGGATTCAGTTAGAGACAAATGTACTGCGAATTCATAATATTTGATGCAATGGACACATATTTCCAAATAAAGATGGAGTATAAGCCTCTAAGATCTTATATATGCAGATTAATTTTACATTTTACTTGCAAATTAGTTTTCTTTTTAATACTGTCTGTAATATTCAAATGATATATTTGGTTTAATTTCCACCATAACATACAATAGTTCATAGTTCAAGTTCATAGTCACTCTGCAAGAACTGGCCTTCAGTGTATAGTTGACAGGAGCAAGTGCGATAGAACAGCTTTTAAGTAGAGAGATACTTCTCCTTTTCATGCACAAACAACATCCGACAGAAACTCTAATAATACATACACAAGGAAGTTCAATTTTTTAGGCATTCGTGTGCTTGTCTATCAGCAAATTAAGGGAGAGGAATAATTATGTTACTGCTTAATTAAAACCATGAGATGGTAGGATTAGTTCATTTTAGCAGAAAGATAAAATAGATTTTACATACTTGTGAATATCTCAGTACAATACAACACAACACAATGCAGTACAATCAATCAGTCAGTCAAAAAATAAATAAGTAAGCAATCAAGCAGGCAACATCACACAATTGATGCAACTGTAACTGCTTGTCACAAACTTTCAGCTGAGTGAAATAATAGGTTCCTCACTTAATAACAGTTCATTGGCTAAGTCTGAATTCCAGTTGATCTAAAATCTGCTGGACGATTGCGCAACTAGAGACTGGAAATGAAACTGGATGAAAGTTTCAGGGGTGATGTTCATCAGTGTGTGCATCATTGCTTTTAAACACTGTGGTCAACCCATAAAATGTCACTGGACAAAGCATATTTGTGCATACACTGTAGGAAAGTTATAATAATGTATTTCAGTGTATTTCCTAAGTAGTACTAAAATAGATTCCCAAAAGCCATATTCAGGCACAGTGATTTTATACGTAGCCATACATACAACTCTTACATGACACTTGTGTTAGTGGCTGTCATAACACATGTTTTTGTCAGCCAGCTCATCTATGTTCAGAAATCGTTAGGTTTGAGTCATAATTTGAAGCGAAAGTGACTCCTTTGTAATCAGACATAGGCGTTGGTTGTGACTGACATGGAAGAAACACTAAAGCTGTTTTGTGTTAAACCTCTTCCTGTTTGTATGACAGCAGGGTTCATATCTTTTCTATCAAATTCATATTCCCCACTGTTTTTTTTTTACCTGTGAGCTCATCACACCTGGCATGCACAAGATGTGTTCCTTTCTAAATATAGAATGTGCTTTATTTATTCTACATATTTATATTCCAATGACACACTTATTTATACGCTAAATACAGCATAGGAACAAATACTTGACATGCTTTTGGCAGCATCATATCAGTTATTCATGATAAAATGAACTCAGAACACAGAAATTCTGAACAGCAACATTCGGACATTCAAAATATGTACAGCATTACATCTTTACACGGGCACTTTAAATTTCACAATATGGTGATATCCGTATACTTTCACTTGATAAACAGAACGGCCATAGGAATAAAAGGGTATTCAGACTGAAACTGAAATGTTCTGAGATCTTTCTAAAGTTGTTTTTCACCATCTTTCTGTACAAAAAATAATTGTTGTATTAAAGAAATATATAAAACTTACAAAATGTATTTAAAAAAAAAAAAAAACCTTGAAGGGGTTAAATAGTGGCTATTATAGTGTGAAGCAGCAAAAACTAAACAAGAAAGAGACATTTTTGTTACTAAAAAAAATGTTTTCATTTACAAATTTAGACCACTAATTAAACATTAATTCAAAGTCCTTAATTGTTGTTCATGCATGATTTTTTTATGCATGCATGCTTAACAGAGTTGCTTGTTTCCTTGGTTTATAGAACACATACCCTTCAGTTCTATTTTACACAACATAAGCTGAAATCGAGGTCAGTGTAAAGTTCCCACAGGTACCAATAAAGGCTAAAAGGAAAGAATAGAGTTCCTCATTTCCGCCTAGACAGGAGAAAATCAGCATCCTGGTTCTGGTAAATATTGCTCTGTGATAGATCCCCTGCATCCTACTGTATCTGCTTAACTGGGCCTCTGTGTCGGCGGTAACATATAAAAAGGAAGCACTTACCATTGAATGTTGTCACCATTGTTCGACTGCTGTTATTTCCTAAAATGATCACGGTAGGGGGAGTTTGGCCTTATTGTTATGGGAGGGAGGGATGTGGATGAGAAGACTCTGGGCTCACAGGAGAAGGCGCATGGGGGATATCGGTCCCCATCAATCAGAGACTCCACACAATGAGCTTCGACCCCCTCATGGTGTGGGAGTCTATCATAGCGGCCGATCGCACCACAACAATGGAGCAACACCTGTTTCCTCAGCAAAGCTCGGGAGCAGCCTTCCTGTACAGGGCTGTTGGAAATACGATCAGGAGAAGGAGCTGAGATGAACCTTCATGCCGGGTCGCAGTGTGAACTTGAATCAGCTGAGATGAAGGGAGCATCTCATCAGACATGCTGTTAGGATCTGAGGTTTTATAGCTAAGTTCTGATCTTAGATATGGAATTTAGTGTCCAGTGTTGGAAGTCTGAAGTTGTATACTGTGTGTGGCATTGTGCTAAAGTAATGCTATTTATTTTTAGAATAAAAAAAGTGTGATCCAAATGTTGAATGCAGCATTGCTGACTCAGGATAATGTACTGCAAAGGCCCTGGTTGCATTTCAATGATTTTGTTCATAGTCTGTGCACCTCAAATGTGTCTTTGCTTCACATAGGAAGATTGCTGGGATTGTGTTTGTGTTGCCCAGATGAAATCATCCTCTCGCATAAGAGGATGTGAACACATCCTTTTACGTGTCAGCAAGGTCACTTCCACATTTTCAGAGGTTGCAAAACGAACAAAAGGCTACAGGTATCTGTCTGACTGACTGACAGCTGCTGGTCACTTTGTTTGCACCAGTTTAATCCTATATTATGCCACTAATCAGAGCATTGATGCAGAACTGGTGTAGAACAGTGGCTTTAAACCAGGGGCCTAAGCAGATTTTCACAGGGGCTGCAGGATGACTAAAATATTTTAATTAATTAATTATTATTAATATATTAAATAATATAACTATAATTAAAATTAAAATGCTGAAAACAGAAATAATTACCCCACCGTAACTGTTTTTATTGAAAACATTCTTTTAACTGTCCACATGGGGGTTGAGTCAAAAAGATTGAGAAACACTGATCTAGAAGAAAATTTGTTGAAGTCATGTTTTTAAATAAGAGTCTTAAAGTTCTATGAGTCAAAAGAAAAAAAAAATCCCACCTTCTCAGTCCATAAATATATTCAAGTTTTGTGTTGAGACCATTTTAGTAGAGTCTAAGTCAAGACTGAATAAAAATTCATACAAATATGTGACAAGATCACAAGGATTTACAACAATGTTAAATAAAAAAATCTACATTTCACTTCTGGGTTGTAATTTCATTTGCACCTGGCACCTGTTGCCACCAGGTGCCACTTTCTATTAAATTAGTGTAGTCAATGAAATATCAATCAAATGAAAACAAAGTTGTGCCAATTTTGCAACACAAACCAGTTTTTTGTTCGCCTTTATGATGGAAACAGTAATCATAAGATCAGTGATGAATTAGTTCCTTCCAGGCAACCTGGCAAGGCTACAATAGAGCTCCATAAAGTCATTAAGGCTAATATCAGGCTGTTCCCACTACTTTGCTAGCAGGCCTATTGTTGTGCTTAAAACAAGTGACCAGCATAACACTTTGTTTAAGGGTAACCTTACTGTAAATCAGAGTGAGGCCATTATTATTAATGCTTTAGGTTTAATTTTTGGTAACTTGCTGTACTTGGCAGTTTGAGTTTTTTCAAGTTTAACTTGCTTAATGACTGACAGACCCACATGTGGGTTTTGTAGGCTATATAAGGCCTTCTCTTTATGTTTTTTTGGGTTAACATCAGCAAATTCCCCTTAGTGACCACAGTGAGATATATATATATATATATATATATAAAAGAAGAAAAATCTTTGGATCAGTGTTGCATAATGATTGAATTAGGAGCTACGTGGACAAACCTAACATGAACATCCTGTCTGTTTTATTAGATCAGAAAAAAACCCTGACATCTGATAGGAAATCAGCTTAATATTTTCCACACTGTTCTGCTTTTTTTAAATTGAAGAAATGAAAGATATGCCATATATGATTGTCTGACCATAGGTGCATATGGAGTTATTAAACCTTTTTTTTTTTTGGTTTTTGGTTTGTTCTAAGAGATTTACATTTAATTTAAAATCATTCATACAATGTGACAAATTTGGTTTACATTGAGCCCACTTCTTCTTATGTATATGGTAGCCTATTTTCCTAATAAAATAAACACATGTATAATATGTTGTTCTTTACATTTCAAATTTCCATTCTCTATATAAAAAAACGTATATAATATACAAATTTCTATCATACACTCCAGTTTTCTATTGATAAAGAATTCTAAATCCTTCCAAAATAATCTTGAGTAAATACAGTGGAAAAATAGATGCAAAATAGTTTCTTTTTCTTGACCACAGAATTCACAGGTATATGAAATATTGAGCTTAAATCTTTCCAAAACGTGCTTAGTGGGATAAATTCTATGAATTATTTTGTAAGACACTTCCTTAATTTTGTTATTGATGCAGAACTTAGTTTATGCAAATCCGCTTTATGACGCATGATGCTCAATGGGCCGCACGCTCAGCGTGTTAATGCAACGTGATGTTTGGTGAGTGATGAGTCTTGTATATGCCTTGACAAGTGTTTACAAGAAGCTAAGTGAAGCAAAAAAGCTTTACTTTAGTGTATCATAGATAATATTGGTGGTTTGAGTTTTGGGTTTAATGACTCAGACTTAATATCTCTCTGAATGTTTGTTTCATGGTTTTGGGGATTTTTGTTTTGACATTGGGGAAGTTTTGAGAGTGCCACTAACAACATAATACAGCACCTGTCTAATATGAGCCACACGTACATTACATTCAGTTGATTTACTGATATAATGACCTAAAGACCTTAATTTGAAGGGGGAAAAAAATTAACAAGCGGTACAGTTAAAACTGGAGAGACAAGGAAGTGGAATGTGGAGTTTGGAAGTGGAAAGTTGTACACAGAAAAACAATGGTAAAGCAGCCCAATGCAACTCAAAAATGCGTTTTGTGTGAACGACCCCTAAAAGTGGCTTAATATTTTTAATTATTCTATCCATATCTCTTTCACAGCTGCACTTTATAAACTGCTAATATCAGCCAAACTTTTAGCTGAACTAGTCAAGTTATCGCGCATTTAAAACTTCCTTTGGTCAGTGACTCACTGGGAGAAAAATTCCACCAAATGCAATGTTTTGCATTTTAGGGAAATTAGTCTGTTGGAAGAGGAATTCTCTATTTTTTTCTTGACACTTCTTCTTAAGTGCTATTTCTCAGCATACATTTATTTCTATTATTTCTAATAGTAATACATTTCTATTTCTTTTGCTGTTTGGATTTACAACTTATATACTGTATGTGCATCTATGCATTCTATCTATGAGGTTTGTTCCATTATCCTTGACCTCAGCGTTGCATATCATTCCTGGATGTCTGTTCCCAGATACTATCCCTGCGTTCCATTCGGAAGGGCTCATCCCTATGCCCTAATTCCTTCAAAGGGTTTACCCTCCGGAGTGAAAGCTTCAAAGGGTTGAAGGGTATAGGGGACCAAACAACTGTTTCTTGAAGTGCCCTTCTGCGTCATCATCACGTGCCCACACGGAGGCACCGTCATCATGCAAAGAATCTGAGCAAAGGATCATGGGAGCCCGAAGTGTCCATCAGTTGTACCCTTCGAAATCCTTCATTCCGAAGGGCCCTTTGAAGTGGCCAGTTTTGAGCACTTCGGTTTGGAACGACCCTTCAATATGGCGGCCATGATTGTTTTCACTCCGTAGTGCCCTTCGGAGGGTGATAAATCCGTTTGGAACTCATCGTATGTCAGGGCTCCAGACTGCGACCATTTTTTCTGCCGGTGCGAGTAAATTTTGTGCGCGGTCGCACTGGTGCTACCACCGCGTTGTTCAATTCGCGCTGCCATTCCTGTCGCATATGAGAAATATCAAACGGCAAATGAAACAAAAGCAACAAAATCCCGCTACTTGTTTGAGCTGCGCAGCGCGGACCGTTTATCAACTCGGACCACGACACAAACAAACTTGTCCGAGCTCAGAACAGCTTTACTCAGGAACCAAAGTTGATTTCGCGACACTGTTACTGCACAGCTCTGCGAGATCCAGCAAGAAGCGTTTGAACTCGCCGCAGAATGAATAAAGGTTGCTGTGAGATCTAGTGAGATGCATTCAAATTCTGCAGAGAATTATCTGTTATAAACAGATCAAACAGCGCTGACGTAGAAAACAAGAAGCAGTAAGGCTAACTGTAACCATGGTGTTGTGGTAGAAATAGTCAAATGTTGTCACATTATTCATTTCAGGGTTTGTACCTGTCTGAACCTTTTGAGAGAGAAATTCAAGCAATTTTCAATGACTTACAAGCATTTCACACAGCTGTTGCCAGAACTTGTACTGTGTAAAAAAACAAAAAAAAAAAAAAAAAAAATACATCAAATCACCATTATAACCTGTAGATGGCAACAGAGGAACACTTGATGACTTATTAGACAGTCATTTATAGCTACTTTTCCTTTACATTTTGAAATTATAAAATAACAATTTTAAAATCACTAGGCTAAAATATAAAATCATCAAGAAATCAGAATGTGACAGAGTTTTGCTCTTTTTTTGTGTGTATGAAGTAAGAAAAATCACAAAGTGCTTTGAAAAACAAACTTTTCTTCAATTTGCGACTAAATCACACATAATCACTGAAGTTGTTGGTCAGTTCCATATAAGACTATAGAAGAATAATGGTACATTTAATAAGAGTACAATATATACCTTTTCTACATAAAAATTTGATTTTGCACGTTACTTTTGTTAATAAAATAAATATTGTAAGCTTCCTAGCTCAAGCTTAGTGCTTTACTATCAAATGTGTATAAACATGAAATAATCTGCTTTACCCACTGAAATATCCCTCTGAAATTAAGAAGAAATACGTAAAAGAATTAAATGAAAGGAATACTGCACATTGTAATTTCTATGAGTTAAGTCTATTTATTATCAAAGCATTTGTCAGTAATACAGTTAAAATGGGGAAAATATGTGAACGATTGCATTGCAGGCTGATTTAAGGTGTGCCCCTAAATTTTCTGCTTGTGCTCCTAACAATTTTCAGTCAGGGGCTACAGTGCTCCTAGTAAAAATAGTTAGTCTGGAGCCCTGTATGTGGTGTTGTTTATAGGTGGCAGGTGCCATCTAACAGTAAATGTCAGGAACTTTAAATGTTATCAGGAAGAAAACAAACAGTTGGCAGCTGTGGCATCCCCTTAATAATCCCTAAACCAGATAGTTCTCTTGAAATTCTCTGACACCAGGTAGAACATTTCCCTAAACCTCAATATCATTTACAGACATGCAAAGGATGCTGTATGTTTACTTCCCTGAAGGGAGACGAGCATTTGTTTGTCTATGTAGATAACATACTTGCATGGAATTTTATTGACACATGCTGCTACTTCATTCAGGTTACACCAACTGTGTTATTGGATAGAGGCCGACTGAAAACCCACATAGTAACGTATAACATTTTTCTTGACTGATATGTTTGGAATTTAAATATAAACAAGTGGTTCCGCCATCTTATGTAATAATTTTTTAGTATCATATTTACAGATCATATGAAGGAGGTAGTGTGTATTGGTATCTTTTTTGTTTTTCACTGTTTCAGAAACAGTTAGAATTTTACAGCTTCATTTATATGACTTTAGATCTTTTGTTTTACAGTTACAATCAAGATGCAGCACACCTCGTGCACAGAGGACCGGATCCAGCATGCTCTGGAGAGATGCCTGGATGGACTCCGGCCATCAGAAAACCTGACACAATCCTGGAACGGTAAGGCCACCCCACTGACCCTCTGCTGCTGATGGGTCGCTTTTGTTTGGCATCACTGTTTTTCATTTACATTTTTTGACTTCTGTTTGTACAATTTGTTTGTGTGTGCTTTTCCTTTATCATTTTTCTCATTGGTTTTCAATTGACCTTATGTTAAATTGAAATGGGCTTCTCCGTGTTAATTTACTCAAATAATTATATATGCATAATACACTTATGGGTCAGTGACACAACACTCTTTTTTTTGTCTGCATCTATTAATTTATTCATGCACAATAATAGCAATATTCAGAAATAAGAGAGGATTCCTGCAGACCCTCGTGACTGTGTTGCAAGGTAAAAGTCTGTTAAAATATGAAACCAGCATGAATACAAACAGTACATATACACAAATTCAACATGTTTTAAACTAGGTTTTAAACAAAATATTCCCTTTCTTTATTGAGAACGTGATACCTTATATTTGTTATTGGTCCATGTAATTCTGTGACTGGGTGGGTGAAAATGCCAGCTGAGTGGGCATGTGTCTACATCAGCCCACCCACATCTGATTGTAACATTTAATTGTGTGAACACAGCAAAACACTACTTTTTCAGTATACAAGCAGTTTCAAAGTTTAATTTGCTCAAAGACAACTTGATACTTAGCTGTGATATACTATCATATTGGGAAAGTTGAATTAGGTCTTATTTTTTTACTTCTCTGTTATGGAAAGGCCCATATAGAATCTTTATCACTGTAGTTGTGTATTTGCTCTGGTTGTGTTTATGAACCAGGGAACTGACAGACAAAAGATCACACACTGATGAACATTCTAATGCTGTTTGTGTACAGAGTGTGCCACTGTTGACAGATTCAAAGAGAAGGTGTTATTTTCAGAGAGTGTTCTAAAGCAAATGTATTGTTTCACACCTTCAATTAGGCAGGAAGTTAAGATGTCCTTCAAGTAAAGCAGTTATTATCGACCACTGCAGATCTTTTTAGTAAGCTGCAGTTGCCTTAAATATCCAGTTCAGCATCATTCTAAATTTGTGTAGTTTTGAGGTTACACACAGTTCTGTCACCTAACCAATATGATCTGCTCTCAAATTGTACATTACAGTATGTTCTTTCTCAGAATTCTAACCATCACAGTTTAAAGCAGGGAACCCTTTGACATCTACACATCAGGGATTTCAGGGGAATATTCAGGCTATCGTGACTTTAACCAGCCTTTTCCTGTCTGATGTGTGTGTTCAGATTAATTCCCGCCCTTTATGTGTGCTTGACTCGTTTGGTGATATTGGGGTTGTGCAGTGGTTACATGTATACCACGGGGGACTTGTTTACTAGATATCATGTTTATTTGAGGTATAAGGCACGCACATTTGTCCCAGTTTCGCAATTAGGGTTCTCATGCGTGTATGTTTATGCATGTTTGTGCAGCTGGCTGGTGTATGAACCGCTGGAGTCTAGAAGAGCTGGTTAAGAGGGACCCAGAAAATTTTCTCATTCTGCTGCAGCAAATTCTCAGAAAAGCCAGAGAAGTGAGTACACATGTAGACGTACCGCTAACTAAACGGAATGTTACACCCGCAGAAAAGAAGTGATACTTTTTTGTGATCAATGTCCTCTGTGTTTAGCTCACTATGCCCCCTTGTGGGCTCTGCAGGCTATGACAATAAAGATTGCATCTAATCTATGCTAAGATATTGGTGTTGTTCATAATTAAATTAAGTTAAGCAAAAACGTATTTTAATTTATTTTAGATGTGATCAAGAACACATTGTGAGTTTGTCTGTAGGCGCTATGTAAAAGTGGTGATGCTGGATATCTTTCTCTGCTGTTTTAGGTTCAGCAGGAGTGTCATTATGAGCTTGTGGCCCCCTTGGCTCTCATGTTTGAGTCCACACTTCTGCAGGTACATTTTCATGGACACTGGGTTGATTATTCAAGAACAAATTTACCAAAGCCTTGATAATCAGAAACTAAGAATTATTGATCTAATTTTACTGAGCTAATGTCGAAGACAGGGAAACAGTATTTACTATTTGCGTGCGCCTATTAGGAAATATTGAATGCTTCTCAGTGTTCATTCTCACAAATAATTAATCTAAATATAATTTTTTTTAAATTATTTTTATCAAATTATAATTCAATTGTATAATCAAATTATAATTACATTTTGTTATTAAAATCATGAAATAAAAGTTGTAGGGTTTCGAAAAATGTAAAACATAGAAACCTTACATAAAATGAAGAAGAAATATATACAATTTTATATTTTTATACATTTATATAAAAATGTATATAAATACGACAATTTTATATATTTTACGTATTTACAATACTTCCAATCTACAGCTTTATTTTGTAGTAAATTTTTAGAAATTCATGTACATTTTCAGATGCTTTTCAGATTGTAAAGCATAATTTAGTATTCAATTAGAAAAATTGAAAAAATAAAAGCATTTTTACTAGTGGACTTTTAGACCCCACAAATATTGCTTTAAACCTCTCAGTTTGAGCCTTATCTCTTTCGCCCAGAAGCTAATGTTAATGAAATCACATATGCGTCTGTTTTCTCTCTGCAGATGCCTCTTTGTCCATCTGATGGAGAGATTCTGACAGAAGCTTGTGAAGTGTTTCATGACTTTCTAGCATGGCCTGAACCCTACTGTAGTGTGTGCCGTAACCTGCTCTCCACTTTACATCAAGAGCTTAGAGCTCCAGGTAGCACATTCACATCAATAAACACAAGATTAACTTTTATCAGTCACCATCATGCAGCTTAGCACCTTAATAAAGAGCAGCTTGTTAACCTTAGTCCCAGTCTACTAATTCATAGTATTTAACAGAAAAGTACAGTGGCATACTTCTCAGTGGTTTCAAGAAGCTTTGCAGCTGTTTTTCAAAATAAGTGCTACACTTGTTTATCAGTTTTAAGAGCACCAATAGTACCTTAAGGATTACTTAACTTCCACTCTAACTTCAGTGCTTTCACTAAGATTTTGTTTTGTTACATAATGTTGAAATCTGATGAAATAATGTTCTTGTGTGCATTTGCTTGTATCAGGGATTTCGTACCACAAGCTGGTAAGAGAGGAACAAGGCCTTGCCACCTCTAGTCAGCGTTCTAAGATCATGTGAGTGTGTTTCAACAGAAGCAGGAGGAAATCCTGTTGTGTCAGTTATTGCTCAGCCCTTTTTGGTTGCAGACTTCACCACTCACTTCCTGTGTCAGTTCTTGGATATTCACAATTTGTATTATTATACGATTACTTCTCTGTGTGAAACTTCAGCATCAAAGGTTGTGTCCAGTCAAATGTATTGCAAATAAAAATATTTGTTTGCAATTTATTTGTCATGAATACAATCTTTAGCCTAGTGTTTAACTGACAAATTAATGTTTAATTATAAGGACTTTTTTCATTTTGCACAATAGTTCAAAATTTATTAATATTAATATTAATAATAGATGTAAATAAGACATAATAACAAATGTTTCTTGAGCACCAAATCAGCATAATAGAATGATTTCTGAAGGATCATGTGACACTTAGTAATTCAAAATTGAGCTTTGCCATCACAGGAATAAATTACATTTTATTATATATTAAAATATAAAACGGTTATTTAAAATTCTAATAATATCTCACAATATTACCATTTTATTGTCTTTTTGCCTTGGTGAGCATTCTTTTAAAAACATTTTAATCTCAGTGACCCCAAACTATTCAATGGTAGTGTAAATCAGGGATCTTCAGCTCCAGTCCTGGAGGTCCAGTCTCAGCCAAGTTTAGCTTTAACCCTAACCAAAGACATCCATACAGGCTAATTAATGTGTTCAGAATTACTTGCAAATTACAGACAGAACTCAAGTCTGCATAACACTTGCCCTACAGAACTGGAGTTGAAGACCCTGGTGTAAATAAAACCATGGTATTACCACAGTACTATGTTTATCATGGCTGGTCATTTCAACTTAGCACAGCCCTCCATATGATCTGTCTTGGATAAACATCTGTCCCATAATAAGAGCATGCCTCTTTTTTTTAATTTTTATTTTTTATACAAAATATCTTTTTCTAAGAAATAAATTCTTAAACTTAAACTGTTGATGTTCTACTAAAATGAAATACACTCGAAAATAACAAATGTAAACTTCTTCTGTGGACACAAGTAATGTGTTTTATCTGTGTTTCTGCTACACAACAGTGACCTTTTCTGATGTTTTCTCTGTTACAGTACGGTGTTGTTGATGAACCCAGCTGAGGTGCCTGCTGAGTTCCTGTCTGTGGCCGAGCAGCTCAGTGGAGCGGAGGTCTCACAGAGAGAGAGTAGCATTACACTCATTAAACACAGCTACCAGGCAGTGCTCGGAACTAAATACCCACTACAGACCATCAGCGGTGCTCTACAGGTACACCACACTGTTCCACAGCACATGAGATGATGTTTCCTGCTTTAATGTGCTCCAAAAAACTTGATACAGCGTGTATGTGCGTCAGACTGTGACTGAGTATGTGTGGGTGTATCACTTTGTGGGTGTCAGGAAGTGTGTGATCTGATTGGTGGGAGGGGGGTGAGAACTGGATGTGTGACCAAAATGACTCATATGTGGGCTGATGGGTGGCTAATGGGGAATAAATAGATGGATTGAGTGGGAGTAATGACGGGGTTGAGCTTGTTATAATAGTTTTGCTTGCAAATGGCGAAATTTATTGTAATTATGTCAGATTACTTGGAAGTTAAAACGAGGGGTAGCTTCATTTGAAACACAGCTAAACATTCAATGAATTCTGACTCTGAATGACTTGCAACAACATAAGAGGTTACAGTACATGACTAAGTTGGTTCCTTTTTAGTGCCTTAGTGATGATGAGTTGGCACAGATCCTGTCCTCACTGAGTGACCTTCTAGAGTCTGCAGCAGCCATAACGGATATAGCTAAAGCTCGAGAACATATCAAGGGTGGTCTGGAGGCGCTGCGAGAAAAACTTGGCATACCAGCCTCCAAAAGAAAGACTTCAGATGGTACAGTCTCACTTCCTACTTATAGCCCTCCTCACAAACCCTAAAGTGCTTTGAATTGTTACCAGACTTGTGTCCAACCTTATACAAATTAAAAAAATAGTATTATGAAATCTTTTTTTTATTTTTTTATTCCTTTTCACTTTATAAATCAATGGTTCTTAACCAAGGTAGAGGGGCCCACTAGGGGTCATTAGCAAACTTCCAGGAGGCTCCAATTAACAAATTATTGTTAAATGCTTAAAAAATGGCTGTACAAGATTAAACAGTAGACATTATATTTTTGACTTTATTTTTATTACAACAGGAGTACTAGAGGTATATATCAGATTAAATAGGGCCTTCAAATTTTGTCTTGGACAAACGGAGCATCTTGGAGACAAAAAGGTTGTGAACCACTGTTCTAAACTGCACTATTAAAGTTATTGTCAATCAAAGTAATTCTTATAGTAAAATTAATTACTACTATACCATCAATTACTGTTCACAAGCAATCAGTAATATAAAAAAAATAATAAGTTTCTACATACACACATGGAATGCAGCATTATAGACTATATGGCTGAAGTACGGGGACAACTTTTATTTAAGCAATTGTGACTAATTCAGCCGAAGTTTCAGCAAATATTTTTGTAGAACAGGGCATGTTCACAAAGCAAGGTCCATATTGAAACAATTTACCGAGTCTGATGGGAAAGAGCTTGACTGGCCTGCACAGTGCTCAAGTTCATTGACCACCTGTGAGATTAATTGAAACCTCAGGTATAAACCAGGCTCCATCACCCATCACCTGACCTCACTTATATTCTGTTGACTAAATGGGATCAAATCCCTGTAGCCATGTTTCCCAGAAGAATGGAAACTGTTATAGCAGCAAACTACCTATTAAAGCCAATGGCTTTGAAATATTTAGGTGTCCACATACTTTTGGCCATGTGAATTGGTGGTCTACATCTTATAGAGTTTCATGGTTGTTGCTTGGTGACATACTACACTGTTGGTCTGGGCAGCAGTAGTACATATTACCTGGCACCAACTCCTAGAAACTTAACCAAGATGGATGGCCAACATGAAGCAATACAGCTGATGTTTTTTTCCGCTTGGGAAACAGTGGTGTGTTGGATTTGGAGTGGGCTAGTGATTAATGAGAAAAACTTTGTTGTGTTTGTGCCACTAGGGGTTCTTCAGACACTCAGCATTCCAGCAGCCAAGTGCTACACCTTCCATTGGGACAAGGATAATTTTGGTAAGACACTGAATCCAAGCCAGTCCCATTTCTTTCTGCCATGGGCTTATTCAAACATTTGTTTGGCTATTTTGGAATTATAAACATTCGAAGATTGCTTTCCAGTCACTTTGATTTAGTTTATAATGTCATTAGGGGTTTTCATGAGTTGTAAGTTAATCCTCCAGCTAATAATAACCATCTGAGTCACGATTTTCCTTCTTGTTTTTTTTTTTGCTAGATGTTCTAAACGACCTTCTAGAAATGGAGTCTGAATTGACCTTATCTCAAACATCTGAGGGTATGGAGGAGGATGATGTTGACAATGTTGATGTGGAAGATGATGAATATGAGGACTTGGAGGAAGGGTTTGTATTAAACGGTTGCACTGACTATCGGGCCTCAACCTTTTCCACTGTCTCCTCGCTTTCCACGGCCTCCAAAGACTCCATGTTCTCCACTCTGTCAGTCACTTCCTCTGAATGCTCTCCCCTCTCCACACTCTCATCCTCATCTCAAGCTTCAGGCACTGACAGTGACTTCTGTGAGGACGCAGAGGAGGACATTCTGAGCACAGCGTCTGTGCCCAAGTCCAAAACAAGTGCACGACTTTCCAAGCGCCTCTCACGACTCTTCAAACCTCGCAGCAACTCTCTATGTCGAGCTAAAAGCCTGGGCAGCCCTGAGGCTAAAGAATTAGTGATAGCTGTCCGCTCTAAGAGATCCAATTCTCTGCCACAGCAAGTGCGACTGCGGAGCTCTGATTTATGGTTCCCAGCGCCCCCCCTGTCACAGCTGCAGTATGTTTGCTATAGGAGAAGACCCATTCTGAGTACTGACGATGTGGAAGGGCCACCAGGGGCCACAATGCTCAGAGTGGTGGTGTTTGGGGCAGATCATGTGGCAGGGAGAGTTGCCCGCGCATATGGCAGCCTAAGAAAAAGAGAAGGAGACTGTCCACACCTGACCAAGGCTTTCAGGATGAAGTTTTTCTTTGTGCCTGTAAGGAGGGATACAACTCCAGCCAATTTCTCCACAAAGAACTCTGGTTCTTCTCTGCAGCTGTCAGTGAGTCCACTGAAACCAGCCATCTCTACCACTGTGAGTGAAATCACAACACTTGAGCCTGCTATAGTGCCTGTGACATAAATGTCGTCACAAGCACTGTACACACATTGCTCAATTTTTTTAATTGTACATAATCTCTACACTCACCTCGGCCCTTTAATTCTTATTTTTTTGCATTAAGTAGTTAGTCCACAAAGTGCCAACACCAATAAACACCCACATTGATGAGTGTGAATTTCACACTTCTCTTGTGTGAAGGGGTTAAGCAATATCCGCAACTCTAGTTTAAAAGAGTACAAAGACATTTTTATCATTCATTACTGTTGCAGAGAAATAGCGCAGACTTTGGACAAAGATGACATTTTCTAGTGAGCATGTGTTGCCTGCCTGTGTTTACGCACGAAAAAGGGGTATACTTAGGTTATGCCTTCGGCTGTACACATATGCTTAGTTTTCGCATCAAAACTGGAGTATGACTGTCTACAAAAATCTCCAGATCCATTTGTACAAACAGGCTACATACACACCACAGCTAAAGTGCCACTTCTCTAATGTGCTAATTCCTGTTCTGCACACAGAATTTTACTGAAATGACAGCTACTGTACATGCAACAACCAAATTCATTTACGAAAAAATGAAATAGTTACAACCGAATTTGGTTGAAATCTGAAAAGTGTACACAAAACTGGACCGCACATCAGAGATGTGTTTCTCTTCTCCAAGCAATTCATAGGGAGAGAAGTATGTCTCCTGACTCATTCTTAAATTTTGTCGCAGGTGTGTCTTTCTCCACTATAGTGGCTCTCACCAGCCCTGCAGTTGATGCGAGTACTTAATTCCCTAATATTACTTTGGTCAAAAGTAGCTAACAACAAACTGCTTCAACTGGCATACATGTTCCGCAAACCATTGCTGTAGTTATCACTACGTCAATCATTACATTTTCACATACGGTTCCTGTATTCCGTACTCACTCAAATCATCAATTCACTCCCACATTTAAATGTGGTTATCACTCCCAAAACCTTTAGTGTGTACTGGCTGCATTGTTTAATTGGATTTAATTGGACATTAGGTATATTACGGTAATACATGTTTTAATGAGTGCAGGTGTTGCTTGGTAGCACATGGCACTGAGGAAGGATTAATACCCGAAAACGTTCTGCACCTTTGCAGTTTTTTATACATATTTTTGTGACTTCTGAGCAATACATGTTATAAGCCTTTTTGGCTGAATTTGGACGAGTGCGGATCTCTTTCATCTTCATATTTTTTATTTATTTTGGATCTGTTATTTGCCTACTGGAGTTTTGGATGAATGTTTGGCGCTACAACCTTTTCTAACTGTGGATTAATTGGATTTCAAACCACATCTCTGATGGCTTATCTATGCATCCCAGCCTGGCAAAACTGGATAGATGTGTGGTTTTAGTAGGGTTTTGGGCAAAACTTTTAAATCGCAACAACCTTTTTTTTTTGCTGCTGGTCTGAGCTAACTTTAGATCTCTAATAAAGTCCTACATTACTTGCACACACTTTGAAGTCAAAACAAAGATGATTTTGTTTTCATTGATTGTTATTCCAGACATTCTCGACATTCTTATGTAATATTTTGATACAGAAACATTGGTATTAATTTGTCAACAGGATATCAGTGTAAACAGGACGGAGGACAGCACTAATGACATAGCCAATCTCCTGGGAATGCTGGATCCCTGGTATGAGCGTAACACTCTGAGCCTGCTGGAGCTTCCGGTTAATGTGGTGTGCCAGGTGATACTTTCATATCCACACAGACTCATTCACACGAACAGAGAGTGCGTACATATCTAAATAATCAGTAAGAAGAACAGTAAATCTTTTGTTATATGGCAAGCTTTTGACACGGCATACATGCGCACAAAAAAAAAACACATCCCATAAAACCACTCATATGAGGAACTTGCGTGTGTGAAAGTGTTTTTTGAATTGTTTTGATTATCACCATGGCCAAAACTAAATGTCCTTATTAAATTACAGATGAAAAATATATTCATGTCAAATGTTCTGTCCATAACAGCAGACATCCAAGATTGATTCAGACTTGTCTGAAGGTGCTGGTGAGGGGCGTTTACCGATATTTGCTGACCTGGTGCTCTATTACTGTCGTCATGCCGCCCGCCCTGCCCTCATTCAGCTCTATCAAGCAGAGGTGAATCAAAAATAAAACATGCCATTTCTTCAATCTGTGGCAGTTTCAGTCATAGACTTTAAAACTGCACCATAAAAGTTACTATATATACATATACAAGCACTCAGCAGTGCTAAAACCAGCAGTGCATATACTTACTTCCAAGTAACCCCCCAAAATAAAAGCTTGCTGATTTTAGGTTTGAAAATGTTAAAAAGTAATATAAAAAGGGAAATATTAGCATTTTATTTTAAGTGTACTATTTTATTTTTAAGTGTACTATAAAATAATTGTATTTTTATTTAATACTCATTTTTTAATAGTTATATTTAATGGGTCACAGTGAGCACCAAACTGAGTCTCCAGGTGCTTTCATGAGAACCAGACTAAAAAACGTATGTGTACCCCTGTATGTGTGTGTGTGTATATATATATATGTATATATATATATATAGTAGCAGATTTTCACTTCTCAGAAGTTATTTTAGAAAGTAGCAGCTTTAAATTCAGACTAATCAAAAATGTTTATAAATTTTTTTTTTAAGGAAGAAGGAACATTTCAGATCCTGTTCTGTATTGTGTTTTGCTGTAGTTAAGGTGACTCGCTTATTTTCTAAAAAACAAAAATCTAATCTGTTCTTATTTTTCAGGTGCTGCAAGTAAGAGATTTGGCATTGATGGAGACCGTGAAGCTGTTCCTTTATCACTTGAAGTTACTTACAACCAAGTAAGATGAAACATTCCAGTGTATTGATGAATTATTAATGGAACAAGCATGCAATTCTCATTCGTCCCCTCTCATTTTTTGACTTTACATGAAGATACATATCAGTGGCAGAAGTCAGAAGGCAAGGACAGAGAAGTCCTGCACCTCTATAAACCTGCTAAAAGCCTGCAGGAATCTTGAGGAACTAGGTAAAAAATAACTTTGATCTTATTATAGACAGAACTAATTTGGATTAGTGCTGTCAACTGTTTAAATTTAAATGTAATGAATTGCATGTTTTGTTTTTTAAATAACAAAAAAACAAAAACAACAAGATGGCATTCAAATTACATTCAACTTACTCAACATTGGGCTAACAGGGGCTTAAGCGTATTTGCACACGCTCAAAAGAATATGTAATAACCTTCTCAACACAAAAGAACCTTATCAATGTTTAGGCCTAACAATAATCACAGGGGAATTAACAAAATATTGTAATAAATCTTTTCTTTTTCGTTAGATTCTAAAATGGAGTGCCTTCATTTGACAATGACAGAAGTGCTGAAGAGACAAAACTCTAAATCAAAGAAAGGCTACAATCAGGTGAGCAGGAAGGAAGTATGGGAGAAAACTGAGATGTGGTTTAAACAGCCCGACACAAACTTAGCGCAAACACCTACAGTTACTCTCATGTGGTTTCTGCAGCAATGTGTAGCAGTCGACAAACAACAACATTTTTTACCAAGAGCAAACATTTTGGTTTTATTTACCTGTTTCTGTACCAGTTTACTTGATATGGCTCATGTTTTTACACCTTGGTGTTTTTTGGTGTCAGTCTTACTTTCATTTTTACAGTGTCAGTGGTTACTCTTCGGTTCAGTTACACCACACACTGACTGTACTTCATCTTGTTTTGTTATTGTTTGAAAAGAAAATATACTGTTGGTTACAAATTTGTTTAACAGATGTTTGAAATGAATGAAGAATAGAGAAAATCCTGCATTTCATATGGAAATATGCATATGTCCTATTGCAAGAGCAATGTAAAAGACATTAACAATGTTAATATAATTGCATAGATTAAGCTCAAATGTTTCTGAATATGAAAATGATTTGGGTGATTCAAGTTGCAGTATTTTTTATATGCAGTACTTATAAAACTGTCGTTTGTATTACAGCAACTGACCACCACACAGGTAAAGGTGGATAAGGTTCAGGTTAGTGGAACTTGCAACACCACCTTCGCAGTTTGTCTGGACCAAGATGAGAAGAAAATTTTACAGAGTGTGACCAGGTACAGTTTTTTTATATATATATTTTTTGGCTTTTTTATGTTGAATTTTGGCCAAAAAGGAAATATATTTATTTCCTGCCTAGCAGTGCTAGACAAACAAGTCAGATAGGTTTTTATACCTGTTCTGAGTGAATTGAACCCATGACCTTGGCATTGGTAGCACCATGCTCTACCTGATCGAATCGCAAAACAATACTTCAGTACTTTTACTCAAGTAAAATTTAAAATGACTACTTTTACTGGAGTAATATGTCAATACGTTTGTGTACTTTGTTCACCACTGCTGTCCAGTATAAATTCATTATTTTTCATTATAGGAGGAAAATTCTATTCATTATTTTATATATGTAACATATTTATTCAGCAAGGATGCATTAAATTGATCAAAAGTGACAGTAAAAAAAAAACATTGTAAAACACATTGTTATAACAGAAGGCGTTCCCCGAGCGTTTTCGACGCAGCGTCTCGTTCCCTCGAGGAACTAGGGTTACATACGTAACCTGAGACGTTTCTTATGAACTTTCTATTCAAATGTGCTGAAAAAGTTTATATCACTGTTTCCACAAAAATATTAAGCAGCACAGCTGTTTTCAACTTTGATGATAAGAAACATTCCTTGATCATCAGCATATTAGAATGATTTCTGAAGGATCATGTGACACATGATCATCTATTGAAATAGTAAACCATTAAATATTTATTATTTTTAATATTTCACATCGTTGCTGTTTTTACTATATTTTCTATGAAATAAATGCAGCCTTTGTGAACATAAGACTTTTTTTTAAAAGTACTTTTTAATTTTGTGTTTTAACGTGGAATATTCCTTGCATTAAGCCAGCAAAACAAAAAAGAGGAACAAAATCATGAAATGTCATCTTTATGCTTTCCTGTGAGATGGAAATGAGACTAAAAGTTACTCAGTGACCACTGCTGTTTGTCACAAAGAAAAAAAAAGGTTAATTCTGTCATAGAGCTGTCATAGAGACAATGAAAATATTTGTTATAAAAATACAGTTTTGTGGCCAACAATTGGTAATTTTTTTCAATGCATCTGCCATTGGCAGTTACTATTAGGATGTAAGCTTCACTGAATACAGTGATATGAACAACCCAAAACTCGTTCTCTTTGCAGGTGTGAGGTATCAGTTTGCTATAAGCCGGATAGTTCGACTGACTGGACGAAAGGAAGGGTGTTCTCATCTCAGACCCAGCCTCTGCAGTCAACCTTCTGCTCTCTGCTTTGTCTCCCTGTTGCCACTTTCAGTGGACCTCAGCCCTGAACCCAGAGACTAGGCTTGACCCTAATACTCCAGCCTAATAGACGTCCATCTACATAGTTTTCCACTTCCACTTTTAAACTCAGCATATCGACTCAGAAAAAAAGCTAAGATACACTTTTGGGTAAAAGTGCTCTTCTATTACGTTTGTGAGCAGTATGTGTACAGTGGGCGTTGTTTGCTTCAAATTTCTGAGATGAGGATAACTGGTTGTTTAGCCTGAGGTACATCCTGCTGAATATAATTCAGTGGACAAGCTGAGACAATTTTTGTAGGCTTATGACTAACATCTAAATCAGGTTATGAATCAAAACCTGAGTCATCCATAATTGAAGGTTTGGTACTTTGAGAGGGATGTTATTACCGGATTGATTTGGAACTGGGCCTGTCCTGGCTTTTATACAACCAGCGTGGATCTCTAACTAGAACCAGAATACTCTTGTTAATGCACATATTAACCACCATTTAAATAAGCACTGTGGACAATGTGATAATATGTTTGTATATATGACGTAATTATTTTATGTAGCTATAATCGAAATTCTCAGGAAATATACTGTATATATTCCTTTACAATCTTTTATTGTTTAAACTTGTTTATTTAAACTCATTTCTATCTGGCCAGAGAATTGAGGAAGTGGTGCCTCAGATTTTTGTTCTTAAAAATCTAAAGTATCCAGTGATTATTTTTTGTATATATTTGTATATCCTCTCTGAGGTTTAATTTTTTCTGCGTTGTGATCTGAAACCTGTCTGCTTTGAATACCTCTTATTGTAGTTTGGTCGGTTTGCCAGCAGAGGTCCTTATAAACCAATTGTTGAGTTTTATCTTGTGACTGCTGGAGGCTGAACAGTGGTGAATAAGCACCTACATACTGGCAGAGAAAACACCGATACAGTTTAGTCATTACACTGTAATACTGGCACAGTTTGCAAGTGCAACAAACTGAATCCTTTCTTTCTTTCTTTCTTTCTTTTTCTTTCTCTTTCTTTCTTTCTTTCTTTCTAACATGTTTATCTGTCCTCTAGAATGACCAGAATTACTGTCAAAACAATAATTTTCTCCTCTGATTGTTTTTGAAACACTTAAAAATTGTATATATTTTTAACAAGATTAAGGAGCAGAAGAGTACAATGTACATATTTATGTGTTTTTATTAAAAAAAAAAGTTGAGGGATTTTACTCTCTCTCAGGGCAGACCATTTTAAAATAATGTTTATCTGTTTGTAAATACATTCTGTTTGCAATAATACTACATTTCATTTCACTAATGACCAGTGCTACTGAAATGTACTGTACACTGTTATGCAAAATGTCTCTTTTTTTGTCATCCTGGCATCCCAGAGAACTAAAGCGGTACTTTCCGTCTGGCTTGTATTCATAAAATGCATTCAGTGGCTTTATGTTTGTACATTGTAACTTGTCAAATTAAAACTATTTTAAATAAAACCACTTTCAAGTTTAATTACTACTCACAAGTCAGTGTGTACAGTAATGACTAACAATAATATTTTTGGCAAGTGTCAGCATTATGCCCTAGACTAGTCACTAACTTTTTTTAACACCTTTCATGGAGGTGATTTTTTTAATGAGACTTTGAGCTTACTTTTGTTTTTTTCACTACAGTGGAAACTATAGTTCTAAAGTTTGTAGAGGCATTCTCATGATCAAATGTCAGGTTAATAACTAAACAACGACAGCTCTGTATGCTAAAACAATGTTCCTTGAGAAGGGCAGTTTTGCTCAGGGTATTTATGAACTGTTAGCCTGTTCAAGATGTTATCAAATGTTGTAAAAAAAAAAAAAAATGTCACAAGATGACTCTGCCTATTAAAAACAACCATTGAGGAAAAGCTTGAATGTGTTAGGAACATATAAAATTGGATTATGTCAGTTATGTTCAAGTTCTTCTAGGATAAATAGTTTATTTGTCAATAAGTAGAAATAGAATGATTCTGAAATTATTTGTAATTGATTTGGCTCTGGATGCCTGTCTTCACCCTCACCCTCACCCTCATGTAGTTGTCAGCATGTCTATTCTTATAAACAGTGATAGCAATACTAAATTGATACATCTTACAAAACCTATCAAGAACATGTCCAAAACCAAAATGCAGTAAATAAGATAAATAAATAAATTGAAGCTAATTTTAGGATCAATTAGATTTTGTTGCATTATGATATTATTTTCCCAAGAATTAAACACATTGTCCCCTCAGTTCTCATTACTTTAAAAAAATGACTTACCTTATGACTGTTACAAGGATGAAAAAGAATGATCTAGACAGACTCTCAGTCCATGCATTAGTGACTCATTCTGCAAGTTACATTGTTATGCCAATAGGTGGCAGCAAGTGATTTGATTTATGAATCATGAGTCATTGAATAATTCATTCAACCATTTCTTTCAAAATGCTGGATCATTCAGGAACAAAACACCATCTACAGTTCGGAGTCAGGCAATGGGGAAATTAACAAAGAGTTGTCTTGACAGTGAGTCTTTCATTTCTGCCATGGCCACTCATGTGCAACATCCTTTCGTTCATTTGTCATGTGAAAGCTCTTTACAGGAAACAGTAAGCTGAACTTAAGCTGCATAGACCATAGATAGATATACATAGATATCTCTTTAGCGGCTGCTTCTATGAGCTGCCATCCTCCATACTGAAAAAGGTCAAAGAGGGCAAGTTCACTGTGCACCTGCAACCATACCTATTCACATGTATTAATATCTATATCTGCAATAGCAGCTGATTTTCACAGGATTTAGAAGATTATTAATTTGTGTCATTTGTGTCATCTTTTGTCATTGTGTCAGCGGCATAGGCTGCATATAAGAAACAGATTAGAACTCCTTAAAAACAAGCTTATTTTATTTTTTATCCTTCATCTTCATATGCGAGTGCAAATGAAGATTATCAGTGAAAATGGCATGTTGTGGAACAACCAATACAGTTACTAGACATGCAAGAAGCAATGTTTTTTTTTTTTTTTTTTGTAACGTGAAAACGATTTTAGAGCTTCAGTCAAAGCACAAAGCATTGTAAATGTACCATATGCACCATATGTAAATGTACCACCTTAAAATGTACCATAAAAACAAGTCGCAGGGTTTAATTTCATTCAATTTGGTCTGTTGGTGTTAATGTACAGCAGGAAGGCTCTTTCATGAATGTATTTGAATGGACTGAATGGAATGGGGAACCTAGGCTAATGTTCTTGCAGGAAGTTACTCAGTGGTCTAATTCCTGCTCATGCAACACACACCCCTTCTCAGGAAGAAACAATATTTACTTATAGTTGTTTCTCTGTGTGGTCAAATAATAACAATAACACTGATGCTAAAAAAAGATCCAAGTTAATAATCTCCTCCCATGTTTTGAGCCAGTGTTTCCGGGCTTGTATTACTTGTGTGGAAGACACTAATGAATGATTTGGTACTTGTGCTGACTGCAAAAGCAGGATGTAAGAAGGATATCATATACATAATATCTTACATAACAAAACAAAAAAAAAAAACGGAATTATTCCGTTTTAAATATATCTCAGTGACATTTTTTCCATAAGCCCTGGTTTATTTTTGACCTGGATATGAAGTTGTTATAATAATCTTAATAAATCCGATAAAATCATGTGCTAATTGTTTATGCTTATACAGTTTAAAATGCTGGTAGAAGTGAATTAAGGGAGAACGACTGAAACCAGCAGTGTTGTTTTTGTGAGTGGATTTATAGGCCTACATCATGCTTTATGCCTCAGCTGCCTGTGGTTTGTTTCCCATGTAGGTCAGGTATGTCTGTGTCAAAGTTTTGGAGTTTCAGTCTGCCCAAAGGCATCTTTTTGCTATTGAGAGGCTAACTTAGGTGTAAGTTCACTATATAAAAATAGAGTTTGTTACGTCACAGAGTCTTTGTTAAACCTGATACATCATGAAATTTCTCAGTATATAAACGGGTACTTATTAGTGCTTGACAGTGTTGGGCTAGTTACTCAAAGAATGTAATATATTACTCATTACTCCTTTCAAAAGTAACATTGTTACTTTACTTATTACTTTCTGGCTAAAGTAATTAGTTACACTACTAGTTACATTATTTTTCTTCACGCCCCACAGAAGTTGTAACGGTGTATCTTCCACATAAAATTCTTCTAGAATGTTACTAACAACATATTTCTGCCTCATCATTTGACCAGAATCCACTTTAGATCGCAGTCAGAAGTTATTACAAACACTCAATAGTGATTGATAGTGACATTCAAGTAGAAGTGTTGTATTAATCTCATTAATTGTCATGTGTACCTTGAAGCTAATTGTAATTTATCCGTTACCCAGGATTATATTTCATTATGCATTTTATCAAATCACATAAGTTTGTAAGAAACTGTTTAATTTTCCAAAAATATTTTTAATTGTAGTAATATATTGTACCACATGCTGATCAGAGGGATGTGGATGCGATGTAATGCCAGAGTAAAGTAAAGCCAAACTTACACAACAGTGTTCAGATCATCTTTTTTCCTGACAAAATCAATATAATGCAATATTTCTATCTGCTGAATGTAAGCTTTTCCATATTCCAAGCTTGCCTGCTGCACTGGGGACATCACATGCATGTGCGAGTCATGAAAATTATGAAAATAAATCTAGGAATTATTTGATTGTTGGATTTTAAATCAGCGGGGTTGAGGCATCAAAAGTAACTATGTAACTAAGCTGTTTTATGGATGATAACTGTAATATTATTACTGAAATCTTATTAGTAATCTTATTATTACAGTAACCAAATTACTAGTAACTAGTTACTGCCCAACAATGGTGCTTGATTTAAATGCATCTGATCTGATCTGTTGAAATGCAGATTATTGTGCAAACCCTGAATGCTTGCCTGCATACCAATAACTGCTACTGTTTTGTATTATTAAAGCAACTGTGATATGTTTTCTGGTGCAATTAATCTCCAGTGATTTATTTTACCAGTATTCTTCAAAATATCTGCTTTTGTGTTCTGCAGAAGAAAGAAAGTCATACAGGTTTGAAACAACATGAGGGTGAGTAAATGTTTTGAATTTCCAATATATTATTTTAATATTCCTTCCATCCATTGAAAGTCCACACAACCAAAATGTTCACGTATAAAAATTGCAAAAATACATCATAAAAGTAATCCAAATTAGTCAATAATAAGAGACACAAATGCTTTATATGATAACCAGATTTAATTTAGGCTTTTATTTATATGTAAACATTTATAAACACTCATAAATAGATAACAAAAATAAACAAATGAACGAACAAATGAATATGGTAAAGTGAAGTACAACAAGTATGTTGAGCTACTTTTACGATGTCTTTTTGTACTAACTGATGCATGTTTTGGTTGTGTGGACTGTCAACTGGATGGACAAAAATTATGATAGAATATTTACAAACATTTTCATATGCATTCTGAAGATGAATGAGAGTTTTATGGGTTTGGAATGACATCAGGATGAGTAAATGATGACAGAATTTTAATTTTTGGGTGAGGTATTAGTCTAAACAACAGTGATGCTGATAAACATTCTTACCAAATAGCAATACATTTTTTTTTTTGGTATGTCAAATAATCTTAAATTCTTGTTGGTTTTGTTTGCCAAGGTCATTCCATAACAGCAGCTATCATGTCACTGTGTACTCTCTATATGATCTGAGACAATAGATGATGTGATAAAGCCTGTGACTATGCACGGACTGAGTACACACACACATATCGCACATGCACCGACGCTATGTTAACACGGTCTGATATTCCGGTGTTGTGCCCAATTTTGACCCCCTGCCAAATTATTACCCCCCTAGTTCAAGTCACTACCTGATTGCCTAATCCTAACCCCACCCCTAATCCTAACCCCTCCCCACACCTACTCCTACTCCTACCAATACTATGGGGGTAATAATCTGTAGTGATGGCGAAGTGAAGCATTCTGAACCAGTGAATCTTTCAACACAATTGTATCTGATAAAAGGTTCATTACTCTAAGCTTTTCAACACAGTTTATGTTATGGCCATCTAGTGGTCATAAAAATGACTAACACCTTCCAAACTACTGTGTTTCACATCTGGTTCTACAACTGATTTTTTTGTTTTATTTTATTGTATATAAATAATGGTCACTGTCAAAGTCATTAATTTGTGTCTGTGTACTGGCACTAAAATAAGTAAAAGAAATTAAATCCGTGTTCTGTCTATTTTAACTCTGCCTCTGTCCTGTTATTTCATAGGCAAAGTTCATTTGAGCTAAATATTTAATTACATATTGTTGACAAAAACAAACAAAAAAACAATGCTAATGCATTATAAAGTAATATAACGTAAAGGAAACGGCACTGAGGTTCGCTTTGTTTTTGAACCAGATACTGAAGCAGTCAGATGATTTTCAGACGAATGAAGCTTCAAACGTCAT